AGATGGCAAACAGCTGCACCTCTTGAGATTCCACATGGGCATGGGTTCGTGGGTTTAGGGTCTAGGGCTCTAGGGTTCTAGGGTTTAGGGTTTAGGGCTCTAGGGTTCTAGGGTTTAGGGTTTAGGGTTCTACTTGGAGGCCCAGGGGACTTAGTAAGTGGGTTATAAGTAGAGTTATAAGTACCCTAAATGGAGTTACCTTAATTATAACCCTACTTATCACCGACTTACTAAGTCCCCTGGGCCTCCAAGTGGGGCTCTAGGGTTCTAGGGGTTTTCGGGGGCTTCTCAGAGTTAGGGTCCTAGGAGTTCTCTCTGAAGGTACTTTCTTCTGAAAAACCCTCGTCTCCCCAAAACCCTAGTCTCCCAAAACCCCTAAACCCCTAAACCCCTAGACCCCTAAACCCTAAACCTAGTCTACGAGACAGCGACCTAGGAACAAAAAAAAAAAAGGACTCCGGTTTTGGTAGTGGGGAGTTTTTTATGAGGGTCCTCAGACAACAAAACGGGAGAAACTGCCCACCTTGAAGACCCACCCGGAACCTCGTGGACTAAAGTCGACACAAACGGGTGCACCTAAGGTGTAGGGTTTAGGGCTTTAGGGCCTACTTTCGGGCTTTAGGGCTTTAGGGTTTTAGGGCTTTGGGCTTTGGGGTTTACTCTCAACCCGGCAACCCCCAAAGCGCCAAGGCCTTTAAATCCCAACTCCTGCACAGCGGCACTGTTGAACACCAAGGGCCCTGAACCCTACAATCGAAAGCCGCAAACACTCATCCGTAAGCCTCAACACTAGATCCTAGATCCTAAACCCTAAACCCTAAACCCTAACCCTCAACCCTAGATCCTAAACCCTAAACCCTAACCCTCCACCCAAAATCTGCCCGAAACCCTGACGAAGCCAGCCCAAATCCTCAAAATGAAACCCAAGATCTCTAAAGCAATTGAAACTCTAAACCACTAACCCCTAAAGCATACATCTCGAATCGCCTCCGTTGTTTGGGCGCTACCGGCCTTGGGCTGTAAGGGTGTAGGGTTTCAGTGTGGTTCTCTAAATTAGGGTCTCTTTTAGGGTCCTTTTTACAAAGGTGCCGTACGACACTGGGGACCTGAAAAGGAAGTTGAGACCAGGTGTATACACGTCTGGATGCCTTCTTCCATTCTCCGGCGCAAAACGACAGTCTACACCAGCAAGCCGGTGTGAGAAATGCTGTTCGGATGTTCTGACGAATTAGGCCAGCTCGAATTGAGAAACCCCCTGATACCATAATTAGCCCTATTCTGGTTCACCTGTCAGGAATTACGACCCCTTAGCTATATAAAAGGCAAACTTGAGATCAAAACCTCAAAGCCGCAACTTTCTGAAGCTGGCGAAGATGGGAAGCTCACCGGCGAAGCCTCGCGCGAACCCTCCGGGAGGGGTCCCCGGGCAGCCCGCGCAGGCCTCCCCCGGCCTTCGGCCGCAGTGAACCTGAGGGCTGCAACCTCAGTTCCCAGAGAACCCAACAGGGTTTAGGGTTTAGGGTTTAGGCTTTCAGGTTTAGGGTTTAGGGTATTAAGGAATGTACCTGAAAGTATGGGGGCCTTAGGATCATGATTTACGGTATATTCCTTACTTCAGGGGTATTGGATTCTCTGGGTTGGCTCTATAAGCGCTCTGTAGGGGATCGAAAAGGGGGTCTACCGGAGATGTATGAGGATTCCGTAAATTCCGTAAGGTGTTGCTGGGTGGTTCTTCGAGGTTTATAAGTTTTCACGGATTTCATCACCGGAGAAGAGAAGGATGAACGATTATCACGAGAGTTCAAGCTTGGAGCTCTTCACTGTGGCCATCAGGGTGTCGGGTGCAGGGTCATCAACATCTTCATCAACGTCCGCCAAGCTACGGGCACGGGAGAAGAAACAACCCTAAACCCTAAACCACCCTAAACCCTAAACCACCCTAAACCCTAAACCCTAAACTCCCTAAGCCTTGTAACTACGGCCAGTCCCCAGAGAGCCCAATACCCCTTAATTACGGAATATACCTTAAATCATAATATTAAGGCCCCTTATAATCGAAGGCTATATTCCTTCCCTAAACCCTAAACCCTAAACCCTAGACCCTAAACCCTAAACCCTAAACCCTAAACCCTGAGTCTTGGTTGTTGGTGGACTTAGCTCAGAACTCGAGACTCGAATCCCTAGGCTTGGAACTCAGAGCCGGACCCGACAAGACCAAACATGCATATAATATACATATATACATACACACACGTAAATATATATACATACATACATACATACATACATATATATATATAGAGAGAGAGACAGCACTTATCTCCAGGTCTATTGTGTACTTATTTATGTGTTTTTTTAATTATCTATTTTATATATCTATTTATGTATTTATTCATTTCTATCTATCTTATATATATATATAGAGATATGTGTATATATATATGTATATATGTATATGTCTATGTATATGTATATGCATATGCATATGTATATATATATATACGTATGTGCGTGTGTCATATGCATGTATATGCTCTACAAGCCGAGGGGCCCTCTACGACACGGCGACGTCTGCAAGGATCGGAATCCGACACCAATGAGCCTCCACTCTAAAACCGGTGCTTCAAAGACGTCCGGCAGAGCGCTTAGAAGCACTTGCGGTGCACGATAGTTGGGCCGCTCTCATCGTACTCGCCCTTGGAGATCCACATCTGCTGGAAGGTGCTGAGCGAGGACAGGATGGAGCCTCCAATCCACACGCTGTACTTACGCTCCGGTGGGGCCACCACCTTGATCTTCATGGTGGAGGGTGCCAGGGCAGTCAGCTCCTTCGTCATGCGCTCGCCGATGCCCTGGAACATGGTGGTGCCGCCGGACAGCACAACGTTGGAATAGAGGTCCTTTCGGATGTCCACGTCGCATTTCATGATGGACTGGAAGGTAGTGTCGTGGATGCCGCTGGCCTCCTTGCCAACGAAGCTGGGCTGGAACAGGACCTCCGGGACGCGCTTGGTCATGCTAGCACTAGCAAAATCGAAACAAGCTGGGCGTGCAAGACATTACATTGCTGACTCCGGGCCAAGCCCTTGCGTGTGCAACTGTACTGCAAGCTTGCTTATGGTACGATGCTATCAGCCTCTGGGCAACGGAAGCGCTCGGCGCCCACGGTGATGATGTTGCCGTCCGGCAGCTCGTACGTCTTCTCCTTGTCGCTGCTCTCGCTGGCTGCCTTCATCTCACTGTCGAAGTCCAGAGCGATGTAGCACAGCTTCTCCTTGACGTCGCGGACAATCTCGCGCTCTGCCGTGGTGGTGAACGAGTAGCCGCGCTCGGTCAGGATCTTCATCATGTACCTTTTAACCCCAAAGCCCTATCTTTCGCGTCGGCATGAGCCCCGTTATACATAGACTAGTGTTAAGCCTTCACAACATAGAAAACTCCACACAACAAAAGGAGGAGACACAACAAAAAAAGGTTCTGAACCCTCCTAAACCCTAAACCCTAAAACCGCTAACCCCTGACACCCTTAACCCCCAAATACCCCAAACCCCCTAAACCCTAAACCCTAAGAGCCTTAACCCCTCAACGCCCTAAACCCTAAAAGCCTATAAGGAGCCTTAACCCCTCAACGCCCTAAAGCCCTAAACCTGAGTTCCCTCAAAGAGGGGCTCTGTGAGGTCGCGGCCGGCCAGGTCCAGACGCAAGATGGCATGAGGGAGGGCATAGCCCTCGTAGATCCTAGTCAGGGCTATTTTCTGAGGGTTTAGGGTTCAGGGTTCTGGGTTTAGGGCTGAAGGTTTAGGGCTTAGGGGTGAAGGTTTAGGGTTTAGGGTCTAGGGTTTAGGGCTTAGGGTTTAGGATTTCGGGTTTTGGGGTTCAGAACGTAACCCTCGTAGATCCTGCTCTGCGCTATTTTCTGCAAAGAAACCCCCCGGGTTTAGGGCTCAGGGGTTTAGGGTTTAGCCCTCGTAGATCCCGGGCGCATTTTTTTTATCGCCTCCGAAGAACAGAGAGTTCAGGGGGATCTATGCATCTCTTGGATTTTACTAGGAAGCTGTGGCCGCAGTTTTAGGTGCTAGGGGTTTATGGAGTTTATGTATATGGGGTTCAGGGGTTCGGTCTCAGTGAAAACAGAGATGAGGCGTGAACTTGCCGTTTCTGAAATACAGCCGGGAATCGGCACGGTGTGCGACACGCCATCACCGCTGTCCTGCTGGCGGTCATTGGATTCAGTACTCCCTCTACTTCAACTGCTGTCACGATGATCACTAACCATTCTGCGCACGATGCTTCACTAGATACAATGCTATTCAATTGACCTTCGACCATGTTGGGGAGGTTGTTTTACATTCGGGCCCCTTGCAAGAGTCCCATTGAGCACCCCCCGACTGTAAAACAAAGGGACAATAGGAGGGACCCCTGGAAGGGACCCCAAACCTAATACACTATATAACCATTATAAACCCCTTATATAGCTTCATAATGCCCCCATATAACCCTAAGGGTCCCTTTAAGGGTCTCTCCTTTAGTCCCTTGAGAGAATGTTGGGACGTGGAATGTCGAGCTCGCCGGGGCGTTTAAGGTTTAGGGTCTACCTTAACCTGCCACAAGCTGCCTCTCTGCAGGGTGCTCATATACTCTCTGATATCGAACTCTGTGACATCGAACTTAACCGGAATAGCTAGCAATAGCATTCCCCTGTGCAACCTCCGCAGTATGTTTTAGGCCTTCGTCGATCACTTCGAAACGAAACACCCTCTAAAGCCGTGAAGCCCCATCAAAAAACCATCAAACCCCTAACACTAAATCATAAACCCCTAAATCCTCATAAACCCCCTAAACCCTACACCCAAACCCCAAGCCCTAAACCCTAAACCCTAAATCCTTAAACCCTAAACCCTAAGCCCTAGCTTGGCTTTAAAGTTGGGTCCATGACGATGCCCGTAGTTCGGCCGGAGGCGTAGAGGGACAGGACTGCCTGGATGGCCACGTACATGGCGGGCACCTCATCTGAATCTCAGCTTCTTTAGGGTTGAGGGTTTAGGGTTTAGGGCTTTAGGGGTGTTGGGTTTTAGGCTTTAGGGCTTTAGGGGTTGAGGGCTTAAGGCTTTAGGCTTTGTGGTTTTAGGCTTTAGGGCGTTAGGCTTTAGGGTTTAGGGCTTTAGGGTTTCAGGCTGTAGGGCTTTAGGCTTTAGGCTTTAGGGTTTTAGGCTTCAGGCTTTGGGGTGTGGTGCTTTAGCAGGGCTTTGGGGGTTTAGTTCGTTGGGACCTCGCGCCCCGGTGGCCACAAACCAAGCTCCCGCAGCAAATCAGTGAACCCCAAGTAGGGCTTAGGGTTCAGGGTTCAGGTTTACGGGTTTAGAGGTTTAAAGGGCTCAGGGTTTAGGGTAAAAGTCGTTTAAGGGTTTAGGGTTTAGGGGTTTAGGGCCTTTGGGTTTAAGGCTTTAGGGTTTAGCGAACTGCAGACCTCCAAACGAAAGCCTGCAAGAGCCCCTCTTGGACCCTTAAAAACCCCAAGCCCTAAAACCCTAAACCGTGACACCTCATACAAGTCCCAGGCAGTGCTACTTGATCCCCCTAAACCCTAAAGCCTCTTCCCCTGAACCCTAAACCCCTAAAACCCTAAAACCCTAAAACCCTAAAAAAGCCCTAAAGCCCTAAAACCCTTTAAGCCCTAAGCCCTAAACCCTAAACCCTAAAGCCCTTTAAGCCCTAAGCCCTACACCCTAAACCCTTTAAACCCCTGAACCCTAAAGCCTTTGTCCCTGAACCCGCTTTCAGCGCTACTGCAGGATCCCAAAGCCCAAAGTCCTGAACCCAGATCCTACTGTTGATCAGTATGGGGGGTTTCCGAAAATAAGGGGTACCTTATTTTGGGGTCTAGGGTTTAGGGTTTAGGGGTTAGGGTTTAGGGGTTTTGGGGTTTTGGGGTTCTTTTAACAAGGATCCTAGTATTTAGGGTACTATATCAGGGTCCCCTATTTTCGGAAAACCCCCCTATATAAATCCTGCATTACGTTTAAGGGCCCCAAAACTAACTATGAGAATGAGGGTATATTCCTTATTATGGGAAATGCTCCATTTTTATCATCAGCCGCAGCTTTCGATGACAAGCGTGCTTCTCGAAAACGTATGGGGGCGTTGCAGGGTTTAGGGGGTTTTGCCGTGAGCCCTTAGTTGTGCATCCGGTAACCCATAACCATAAACCTGAAAAAAAAAAAACTCCCTAGACACTCAACTCTTGCTTCCCCAATAAGCCGGGGCAATAAAAGGTAAAACTTTCCCAGATTACTACTAAATTATAAGAACCCAAAAAGTTTAAAGGTTGGGTACTGGGGAACTAAGACTTTAAACCCTAGACTAACCCCACACTCGAAATTGACCCGAAACCCTGATAATCGAACCCTAAGCTCTGCATGAACCCGAAACCCTACATGAATCCTAAACCCTACATGAACCCGAAACTCTGAGCCCCAACCCCAAACCCGAAACTTGGGCTTAAAGATCTATAAGCCTGGGGTTTAGGGACTTAGGAGGTTGGTGAGAGCTGGGGATAGAAGTACCCCGGTCGAAGTCTGTGCCTTAGGCTTTAGGGCTGCCGGCGGCTTCAACCCTAAACGCCTGAAGCCCAGGCTTTACTTAGTCCCTACGCAGGTCTAGAACCCCACGCAACCCCCGAAAAAAACGCCCGAGCTCCTGCAAATCCCGGCTTAAACACACCAACTACCCGAACTTCGGTATTAGGGTTTAGAGTTCAAGGTTTAGGGGTTTAGGGTTTAGTGTTTACGGCTTAAGGGTTTCAGGGTTTAGTGGTGCGATGGAGGTCTGGAACTTGATTGAAGGAACTGAAAGTGTGGGGTCTTAGGATCCTTCGGTTTGAGGTCTTAGTTAAAGGAAACTACAGGTGGGGAGTTTAGGGTATATAGGGCGTCTGTAAGGATTCTATACGGTATATAGACCTTCTAATAACGGCAACTACACACCTGAACATGTCCTAGACTTGGAACTTAGTTTAGGCATTTAGGGTTAGGGTTTCGGGGGAACGACCCGAAACGAGAAACCCGGAAAGTCTAGGCAGAGGTGCATTGAATCAACTGAAGGTGTGTAGGTGGGTTTTGGGGTTTGGGGTTTAGGGTTTAGGGTGTAGGGTTTAGGCTCTAGGCTTTAGGGTTTGGGGTCTTAGGGTTTGGGGTTTAGGGCCTGGAGGCTTTGTGGTCACAAGCCACAGAGTGCCTGACGTTCGCACCCTTCACGCCCCAGACACCCTGTAGAGCCCTAATGTCTTCTTCAAAAAAACCAGGTTATGGTAGCTTAAGGTAAGCCAATAACCCTTAAAACCCAGCAACCCCTAAGCCCCAATTCCTAATGGTCTGGTCTCGAAAGTTCCTGAAGGCCTATAAACCTGTAACCCTAAATCCTACAAACCCTCTACCCCACACTCTAATGGTCAAGGCAGAAGTAAACCCAAACCCTCAAGCCCCTAAACCCTAAACCCCTAAACCCTAAAATCGGCAGAAGTGCATTGAAGGTCTCGAACATGATCTGCGTCATGCGCTCGCGGTTGGCCTTGGGATTCAGCGGGGCCTCCGTCAGCAGCACCGGGTGCTCCTTCGCATTTGTGGGCGTAGGGCGGCTTCCATGGTTCGAGGGTTTGGGGGTTTTGGGGTTAGGGTTTAGGGTGTGGGGTTTGGGTGTTTGGGGTTTTGGGGTTAGGGTTTAGGGTTTAGGGTTTGGGTGTTTGGGGTTTAGGGGCTAGGGTTTAGAGTTTAGGGTGTGGGGTTTGGGTGTTGGGGTTTCGGGGTTTAGAGTTTAAGGAGTGGGGTTTGGGTGTTTCGGGTTTTGGGGCTATGGTTTAGGGTTTAGGGTGTGGGGTTTGGGTGTTTGGGGTTTTGGGTTTAGGGTTTAGAGTGTGGGGTTTGGGTGTTTGGGGTTTTGGTGTTTGGGTTTAGGGTGTGGGGTTTGGGTGTTTAGGGGGCTGTAGGGCTTAGAGGTTTGCCTTGAATTAGGGTTACTTTTTTCGGGTTTGAGCTTTTCGAGGGTTCAGGGCTGTAGGGCTCGAGCTTCGCGTCTCATGGGCTTGCGGGCTTGGAGAGGAGGTGTTAAGGGTTCCTGATAAAGGCGTCCGGAGGAGCCTACACCCTAAACCCAACGCCCTAAACCCCTAAACCCGAAACCCGAAGATCCGAAGGAGGTGCCCTCAACCCTAAACTCGAAACCCTAACATCCAAACGAGGTGCCCTGAACCCCAAACCCTCAACCCAAAACCTTCAACCCTAAACCCTAACCCTAAACCCTAAACCCTAAACCCCAAACCCTAAACCCTATAAACCCTATAAACCCTAAACCCTAAACCCTCAATCCCTGAACCCTCAACCCTCAACCCAAAGCCCTGAACCCCTGACCCTCACACCAAAGCCCTGAATCCCAAGGCCCGAAGGCTGACGCGGTAGCAGATACTCCTCCGGGGCGACACGCAGCTCGTTGTAGAAGGTGTGATGCCAGATCTTCTCCTGCCAGATTCTTAGAGTTTAGGGTTTTAGGGTTTTTAGGGTTTAGGGTTTAGGCCTTAGGGTTGCGGGTTTTAGGGTTTAGGGTTTAGGAGTTTCGGGATTAGGCTTTAGGGTTCAGGGTTTATAGGGCTTAGGTTGTAGCCTACAGGGTTTTATATGGGCACTTCTCTTCTAAATTAGGGTCTCCTTAGACAGAGGGCCCCTTTCGCAGGCTGGGGTTGAAGGTTTGGGGTGTATAGGAATTAGTATAGAGTTTCGGGTGTAGTATTTAGGGTAGAAAGAAAAAGCACAAAAAAAAAACCTAAACCCTAAACCCTAAAGCACAACTACTCTCCATCCCGAGATGATTGCGTCCCAGGCGCCATGTCGTCCCAGTTCGTGACGATACCGTGCTCGATGGGGTACTTCAAAGTCAGCACCTTAACTTTAACATTCTCAAGGCATGCTAAAGGTTTAGAGTTTAGGGTTTAGGGTTTAGGGTTTCGGCATGCCAATAAAGGATTAGAGGGGCTGCTACGGTTGATGATATAAACCCTGCATTACCCATAACAAGGAATAGACCATAATTCCCATAGTTTAGGGTCCTGAAGGTAATGGAGGATTTATATCATCAACAGCACGGGTTGAAAATGTGCGTGGGTTCTGTGGCCTCTTTGGATTGGAGCGACCAGGGCTGAGGCACCTAAACCCTTATTCAGCCTATAAGATTTCTTCCCTGAAATATGCAGATCAAAAGCAATTCCAGCTATCCATCTAGCTCAAGCATAAATCCTCAACCATTCTAGTAACCTTCAAGACTCCTAAACCCCTAAACTCCTAAA